CAGCTGATAAAGTCCATACTTGACACTGACGTCCCTCATGAAACTAAGATAATCGCTTTTATCGGGGGCTCTTGTTCAATAGTATCAGAACCAACAGCTGCTCTTACCGGCCGCCTTTACAAAATACCTCAAGTGAACAATTTGTTATTATTTCACTCTTCCCTATTTTCAAATATGACTGGCATCTTGTCTATTAAACATTGAATGCACACATTTATGTACTGTATTTACTGTGTATTGTATTTACTATGTACAATGTACATGTGTACAGTATGTATATGTACATGTACACATACATACAAGCATGTACAAGTACATGTATTTACTCCTCTTCCCTCTCTCCCTCCCTCTCTCTCTCTCTCTCTTTCTCTCTCTCTCTCTCTCCCCCTCTCCCTCCCTTCCTCCCTCCCTCTCTCTCTCCCCCTCATTCCCTCTCCCTCCCTCTCTCTCCCCCTCTCCCTCCCTCCCTCCCTCCCTCTCCCTCCCTCCCTCTCTCTCTCTCTTCCTCCCTCCCTCTCTCCCTCCCTCTCTCCCTCCCTCTCTCCCTCCCTCTCTCCCTCCCTCTCTCTCTCCAGGTGTCTTATGCCTCCTATTCCCCTGTGTTGTCAGACCAGTCTATGTATCCTCTGTTTCTAAGGACGGCCCCTAGCGACCTTCTAATGAACAGGCCAAGATTTGCTCTAATGGCCACTTATGACTGGTGCTATGTGGCTACTCTACATCAAACAGCTAACCTCTTCTCTTTGGTGCTTACGAGTACATGTTTTTTGTCATTTCATTTCTCTTTTTTGTTTTAGGCTGTGCAAGATTTCCACGAATCCTTCAAGTCAACCCTAGGCACTGGACCAACTGGTACTTGTTCGGGTAGAGCAGATAATGACAATCCCGTCCTGTTTAGCTTCACTGGTGATCCACAGATACCACTCATGCAAATAAAAGTAAGAGAGAGAGAGAGAGAGAAGGAGATAGAAGTAAAATGGGATATTAATCTTTTCTCCTTCTCTCTCATTAGAGCAAGAAGATTCGTATTATCTATGGTTTCTTCTATGAAGACAAGGCAGTCCTAGTGATGTGTTATGCCCGTAAGCTGGGTCTTACGACCAACAACCACCTCTGGATCCTTCCGGGTTGGTTCTCCGAGAGTTGGATGGACTCTGCCAACACTTTAGATTGGTCCCCCTACAACTGCTCTTGTAACAGCGATGAAATTATGGAGGCTGCTAAATACTCACTTCTAGTCGACGCCTTCTCACAACTGACCGATGCAACGCTCGTGTCCGATAGTGGCTATGTGAGTTTGTGGGTGGGGCTCTAGGCATCATCATCTTGTACCTACCTATACCTACCTCATTGCTTGTTTTGTAATGAAAATTGAATTAAAATTGAGTTTAATTGTTTTTATAGCAATCTTTTGAGTTTAGTGTCAATATTGTCATTCTTCTTCACAGACCAATGCCTCTTATTTTAAAGAATACTATTCTCGCCGAGATAGCTATTTCAATATTACAAACGCCACACCCTCTTATGACATCCCCATAGAGCTCTCCTCAAATGCAATGTACGACGCAGTCTGGGCTACGGCACTATCACTGAACGCTACTGAAACCAAGTTACAGGTTAGCTAAACCCGTAATACGGTATATGACTAATTATTAATTCATATACATGTATTTATAATTAATTATTGTTACTGTCGATAGTTAGTAATTAGATTATTGGTCTGTAGAGATTGTCCTTAAATTTACTTTTTATGGGGGGGGGCAGGGGAGGCTGACTCTACTAATTTTCAGCATTTCCTTTAATTTTTACATCAAAAGACCCCCTCACTAAAATCTTAATCAATTCTTTATGTATTCTTATTCATTACTGTCCCTCCTCCTCCTTTACTTATAGTCAATGGGACGTAATCTGTCTGAATTTGAGTACTCAGATTCCACGTTTACTTTTTTACGGGACACCTTCTCCTCAAATATAAGTAAGATGGTCACCGAGAATATGAAGAATTTAGACTTCATTGGAGTATCAGTAAGCAACTGATGATGAAAGACACAAACATGTACACGTTTATTTTAGGGTCGTGTTACTTTTGATGGGAATGGCACGAGACTCACATATACTCAAATATCCCAATATGGTAGGTGTGGCTATAGAGTGTCATTTGAAATTAATAGTTTAACTGTGTCCATGATTCACACTTAACCAATCATGGTTGAATCATGATGGTACCTTGCATATAAAAGACACCTGTTTTAAAAGTACAGCTGCTTCAGTACTTTAACCCACACTAAGAACCACATTGGAAGTGTCCATTTATTGGATTGTACATAAGACCAGTTACAGTGTACATGTACATACTGTATTACATGGTTTATTGATTTTCTCTCTCTCTCTCTCTCTCTCTCTATAGTCCCTGGTACTAGAATGATCAATGGTACTGAGAGAGACGTACTAAACACTGTTAGGCTTGCCATTTATAATGAAACTGAAACTGGTCTTGATATCACGTATGTCGTAGAACCAAAATGGAGACGTAAGCATACAAACAAGTCGCTTATCAATTACTGTATGAGTTTCTTTTCTTCTAGTCGGTCGTCCTCCTACAGACAGAAGTAGGCCAGTAAGTATTTTAATATCTCCAGCTGTCATTTACACTATGGACACTGTCTTGGCCATTGGTATAATTATTGCAGTCGTGTTGCTTGTTTTTCAAATTGTCACCATCAGAAAACCGTAAGAGATTATACAATTATTATTATTATTATTATTATTATTTATTTATTTATTTATTTATTTATAATTTAGTTTAATGGCAAATTCAGCTCCATATATAAATATAATCCTTATAATCGGTTGTATTGTCATGATGGGATCATCAATATTACTTGGCATTGACTCTGGCACACCTCAAGTCACCGATGGGGACAGAGATAAGATACTTGATGAAATTGGCCCTTCTGCTAAAAACAGATACGCCATCATTTGCATGGTAAGCCCCTCCCACTTCCTGTCATGTGATACTTGTGTGATATAGACTCGTGTTTGGTTGCTAACCATTGGATTCACTCTATCCTTTGGATCTCTCTTTGCTAAGACCTGGCAGGTCTATAGAGTTTATACGAAAGCTGACCTTGGGAAACAGGTTTGTACATGTACACATACTTATTATTCTTACCAAATTGTTACAAATATGTCATTTCCTTTGTTAGTTCCTCTCTCTCTCTCATTTGTCATCCTTTTACTGTTCCACTCTCTCTCTCTCTTTCTCTCTCTCTCTCTCCAGCCTTTCAAGATGTGGAATTTCTTCATCATCATGGCTATACAACTGACAATCGACGCCATTTTTCTCAGCATATGGATAGGAGTGTTTAGATTTAGTCACCGGATTTATGAAGAAGATGTAAGATAATAATAATAATAATAATAATGATAATAATAATAATAATAATAAATGGTCCTGCCGATTTGCTGCTCTTCCTCCGCAAGTCGATGGGCTTGTTTGACTCTTTTATAGTTTCTCTTTTCTCTCTATCCTCTTCTTTCATCCCCTCCTCATTTATTTTCTTGTCTGCTTTCTGTAGTTCTTCTAATTCTCTAAGGACCACTCCCTTTTTCTTTCTATGTTATTGTTTACCCCTCTGTGTCTTATTGCATAATAATAATAATAATAATAATAATAATAATAATAATGATAATAATAATGATAATAATAATAATAATAATAATAATAATAATAATAATAATAATATTGTTTTTTATTTCTGTAGAATGAAGCTGAAAATGCAATTCGCAAGCATGAATACTGCTATTGTGACAATTTCTCATACCTCGTTGGTTCTCTCTACGTCTACAAAGGCCTCCTGGTCGTCTTCGGACTCTTCTTGGCCTACGAGAGCAGGAATGTCAAATACACTTTCATCAATGATTCTCGTTTTGTCTCAATAGCAATGTACATTGTAGTGGTACTCATTGCCATCAGCGCCCCATTGAGTCTGGTACTAGCTGATCAACACTTTATTATTGATCCCTCGTATGCCATTGCTGTCTTGCTCATATTTATAACTTGTATGAGCTGTCTCATGATACTGTACATACCAAAGGTAAGGGACTATGCGTAGCCTACCATAAATACACATACATGTTCTTATGTTGCATAGAAAGTTTGAGCTGATTGCGATCAAATTTGGATTTTTAAATGAATTTTTAAAGTTGCTTCAAAATCGAGCAAAAGTCCCTGTACTATAGTACAGGGTCATGGGCTAAATTTCGCCAAAAATGAAAAGCAGAGAATTCTCCATTTTTATTACATTTCCTGATACATATACATGTTTTTATGTTGCGTAGCAAGTTTGAGGTGATTCTGATCAAAATTAGATTTTTTATGAATTTTGAAGTTGCTCCAAAATTGAGCAAAAGTCCCTGTACTATAGTACAGGGTCGTGGGCTAAATTTTGCCAAAAATGAAAAGTGGAGAATTCTCTATTTTTATTACATTTCCTGATACATATACATGTTTTTATGTTGCGTAGAAAGTTTGAGCTGATTCTGATCAAAATTGGATTTTTTTACGAATTTTTGAAGTTGCTCCAAAATCGAGCAAAAGTCCCTGTACTATAGTACAGGGTCTTGGGCCAAATTTTGCCAAAAATGAAAAGGGGAGAATTCTCCATTTTTATTACATTTTCTGATACATATACATGTTCTTATGTTGCGTAGAAAGTTTGAGCTGATTCCGATCAAAATTGGATTTTTTTACGAATTTTTGAAGTTGATCCAAAATCGAGAAAAGTCCCTGTACTATAGTACATTACATGAGGGAACTAAGCCCTTAACAAACATCTTTAACAAAATAAACACAACACAGAAATTACTAGGTTTAGAAGTACAGGGTCTCGGGCCAAATTTTGCCAAAAATGAAAAGTGGAGAATTCTCCATTTTTATTACATTTTCTGATGCATATACATGTTCTTATGTTGTGTAGAAAGTTTGAGCTGATTCCGATCAAAATTGGATTTTTTAAGAATTTTTGAAGTTGATCCAAAATCGAGAAAAGTCCCTGTACTATAGTACAGGTTCGTGGGCTAAATTTTGCCAAAAATGAAAAGTAGAGAATTCTCCATTTTTATTACATTTCCTGATACATATACATGTTCTTATGTTGTGTAGAAAGTTTGAGCTGATTCTGACTAAAATTGGATTTTTTATGAATTTTTATAAGCGTCTTTAAGCCTCCCATTTTAGCTACATGTAGATTGCATAGTCTCCATATATTCCTACATCTAGCAATGATGTTGTTTTCACTCCGTCATTTCCCTTCCTTTTCTCTTCTAGTTTTATTATCTTGCTAAAGGAGCGGACACTATGGTCCCCTCCTCTAAGAATGAGGCGTTCCTTCCTGTAGACAACCTCCAGCTGGGACATACAGACGTCAATCCAGAGGACGTCCAGTCTGCAGAACAAAAAATAAAGCAACTTAAAGAACAAGTCAAACAAGTATAGAAGGGAAGAGAGAGAGAGAGAGAGAGAGAGAGAGAGAGAGTGATATCATACAAAATTTTACGTGTGCTTTTTACATGTAGCTTAAGCCTGTGTACATGTGCATGTACATGTTATATTTTTATTTTTATTTTCTATTTTAGAGAGAGATAGAGTTACTGAGTCTTGCAAGGCGAGCTTCAGACCAGGACAGTGGTGTCCTCTGTGCTTCCACTGAGGATACAGGTGCAGATGGAAGCAACAGAGGATCAGAATCACCCGCTACCATGCAGACCCTTCAGGATACAGTGACCACTGTGTCATCTGAAGGAAATGGAGGAGATACTATTAATAATAATGATGTAGAAGAAGAAGAGAATGAAGGAGAGAGAGAGGGAGAGAGACATGAGAAACTGCCACAAGAAATGGAAGAAGGACGACAAGAAAAGGATGTGAAAGAAAGAGGCGATGATGATGAGGAAGATATTAATGTTGCTCCTTTGACAAGGAAGAAGACAGTGACAATAGCAGATGTTGAAGAAATAGAATTGTAAAAGAACTTACCTTGCATGTATGCATTATTTTTGTTTGTTGTTGTGTTCTCAATAGTTGTGATTGTTTGTATTATTTTTATTTCTCTTGTTCACCTTTTATTATTATTTTATTATCATGATATCTTTTCCCTTTCATTTTTTTGTAATTACATTTCTACATCTCATACCTTTTTATTGTTTCATTAATAATATTATTATACCATGATTGTTATCCACCCTGTATGGACTATACCAGGGCTTCTGTGTCTACAGCTGCAGTATCTCCCTCCCTTTGGTTTCCAATATCAAAGCTTTTGGAAGCCACAGCAGCCAAGAAAGTTCATCATTTCTGTTTTTTTATACCTACATTTTTAATTAAAAGGCGGGGCTAATACTACTAAAGGCGTGGTTGTAATAATCATGAATATATAATGAGCTTTGAATTGACGATTTCACACCAATTACTGATTCTGCAAAATGTCTCTCTCTTTCTTCTTTCTCCTTCTCTCCGCTTCTCTGAGCGCCTCATTCCCTCCTCGTAAGCTACAGCTACAGGTCCTGCTCCCTCTGAATAACTCCGTGGTTCGGAACTATGACGCATTACCTGCTGTTACGATGGCCTTGGAAGACATAAACGCCAATCCTTACTTTCTTCAAGACTACGAGCTGGTAGCCGCAATAAATGACACTGAGGTAGGCTGCACACTTCTTGTTTATACATGTACAAGCTCACAATCCAGAGTATTGTTTTAATTGGAAGATAATTGTAATTTGGAAACAATTACATGTACATGTATGTACATGTACACACATGTGTTGTAGCTGTGGTCTTTTAATTCTCATTACTATGTCTTCTCTCTCTCCCCTCCCTCTCTCCCTCCAGTGTGATTCTTCTGTTGGTTCCTGGAGACTAATAGAATCCGTTCTAACCACATCTCCTCCAAACGTAACGAAAATAATCTCTTTCATCGGCGGGGGATGTTCCCTGGCAACGGAGCCAATGGCCGCACTCACTGGTCAACTATACAACATTGTACAGGTAAGAGAAGATATTGAATGGGCGGGCTTGTATCTGCCTGCATTATTCATGCATAATGTGTGTATAAGTACATGTACATGTACATAATGTGTCCTTATGAGGTTGTTTTTATGTTAACTTGTTCTGTGGAATTTTCAGTTTTTATTATCAGCACATGAGCTCGACAGTGTCACACATCCAGATTTGATTTTGTACTACAGTACATGTACATGTACATATATGCGCTTTATTTGTTTGTTTAGGAGCAATAAAGGTACACATGTATAATGTTATGAATAATAAGATGGTGATTTCATTTTGTTTTACTTCCTTGCGATCCATACTTCTTCTCATAATAATAAGAGTCCATAATAGAATAAAATAATGTATAATTAAATATGAAAGAGATGATTTTATTAATTAGGGAAATATTTTAAAGATGTACAGTAATGAATATCATTAATGAATAATGGCCCCAGTGGCACAATGAGCTTACCTGTGCCGTATCATAAATATGTTTAAAGAAGCGACACCCAAACCTGTGGTTGGTCCATTGGTGTTTGTTTATGATCATGACCGTGAAAAGAGATCTATAAAAATGTCGTGGGAGAAGGACATATCACAATGAGAGAGTTTATAAATTGTATTGATATGGTATCCACTTGATATTTCATGGTGTATTCTGTTATTGGAACTAACACTACTCATAATGACTGATATCACTTACCCTCTCCCTCTCCCTCTCCCTCTCTCTCTCTCTCTCTCTCTCTCTCTCTCTCTCTCTCTCTCTCTCTCTCTCTCTCTCTCTCTCTCTCTCTCTCTCTCTAGCTGTCCTATTTCGCTACGTCTCCTGCTCTCTCTGACCGGAGACAGTACCCTCTCTTCTTTCGAGTCTCTCCCTCGGAGAACCTTCACAACGAGGCTAGAATAGCGCTCAGTAACATGTACAACTGGTGTAAGGTGGCCACACTCTATCAAACTGAAAACATATTCTCACTAGTAAGTCATCTCTATGTACATGTACACCTGGAAGATATCTTGTATCTACAAATATCTGCTACGTTAAATATCTTTATTTTAAATGACTGAGATTTTATACCATTAATTAAACACATATTTAGCTAATAGCACTCTACTATAAAGAAATTGTATAGTGAAAAAATCACTGCATGAACATGTATAGCATTAATTTGGCAAATTTCAGCTATTTACAAGAATTAAGGAGATAAGGAGGAGGAGGGGAGAGGGGGAGAGAGAGGAAGAAGGGGGGAGAGGGGGAGAGAGGGGGAGGGATGTACATGTACATTAGGAGGACAAATGTGTTGCACGTGTACATTATCTTTAAAGAATTGTTTATCGTTTTAACTAAATAACTTCTGGTTGGATGTTCATGTTCTGTAGACATGACAAACACAAGAACAGCAACTTTCCTTATGTGCAATAACATTGATAATTAATTAATACATGTACGCATTGCTTTCTACGCCCACACATGTAACGAGGGACGATCCCGCCCACATGCCTAACGAGGGAACTTGTTTACAGTTACTGTGTCAGCTGCATGGTGGCCTGTCATTGTTAGAGATATTAGATCAACGGTATAAAATGTCATTATTGATTGATATTTAAGTAGTTTATTGTTATCGCAGACAAGTTTTGTTACACTTACAGTCTTTCATTAATAACTGTGGTCACATCAAGTTACCGAGAGAGAGAGAGAGAAAGAGGCCATTTTGGTTTAAACATTAGCCAAATATTTACAACTTTTGCCAAAAAGTTACTCCAGCATAATGTCTGACTTACTTCCCCTCTCCCTTTCTCTCTCCTTAGGCAGTAATTGATTTCTACGATAGGTTTCCAATCTTGCTCAACGGGACAAAGTGTAGGGACTCTAACGATACTGTCCAGCTGTTCAGCTTCCCTGGTGATCCTCTCATACCTCTTCGGCAAATCAAAGTAAAGACAGACACGTTATACGTGTGTACATGTACATGTATATTGGATGTATGTATACTAGTACTGTGCTGCTATCATTGGCAATCTGTTTGTTTGTTTAGTTTATCCGTACATGTACATGTTCGTGTCCCACTCTTTTATGTTTTCCATTTATGACTCACCTGATACTATAATTACATGTATATTATATTATATTTGAAATGTTACAATTATTGGTTTCTTTAATATCATTTTATTTATATTATGCTTCATTTTCCATAGGAGAGCGACTATCGTATTATCCACGGTTTCTTCTATTCAAACAAAGCAGTCATTGTCATTTGTTACGCCATTCACCTTGGACTCACCACTGATAAACATCTCTGGATATTACCGGGTTTCTATGGCGACGGCTGGTGGTTGAAAGCAGACAGCATGGACTGGACTGGGCTTAACTTTCGCTGCTCCTCCATCGACATTGTTAATGCACTGAACAACTCTATATTGCTTCATTTCAATCCATGGCTCTTGGATAATGCCACTGTTTCAATGCCAGGCTATGTAAGTACAGCACTATTCATTCATTCTCTTTATATTAGAATATTCTCACTCCAGACATATGGAGTAATTTGTAGTAAAAAAACAACAATAATGTCTACATCTATGTATACTGTAACTCCTATATTTTTATTATCTTACTTTTCATTGTGATTGGCCTAATGTCTATTCTCTTTCAGACCAATGCTACATTTTTCGAGAGGTACAGGGACATTTTCTATTCCTCGTCGCTAAATATCACGTACCACGACCAGTTCCTCTCGCCTACCCTCATGTATGACGCAATATGGACTCTCGCTCTAGCTCTTAATGAAACTGATAAAGAACTAAAGGACAGAGGACTGAGTCTCTCGGACTTTAGATACTCACTTTATGACGAGGACGATACTGTTGATTCTAGTAGTCAAGACACATCTACTAATATCACAAATATTTTATTCTCGAAACTAAAAGATACTAATTACATGGGAACATCAGTAAGTAGTTTATGGATTTGGCACTAAATTTGTGTTGGCGGCAGCTGCTAGAGATAGCTCCGCCCAAAATGTCCGCACCTATTATGCATACATGTACATGTATAAGTTGTATTATTAATGTTATTAGGGAAGAATCAAATTTGACAAGAATGGTACGAGAATATCAGTAAATACCGTCCTACAGTACAGTAAGTATTATGATCTAGTTATGAATATACAAGGACATGTACTTTGTGTATGTTTACTTTTGTTTCTTTTCTCTTCTAGGAATCGTTGAAGGGTCTTTAGTACAGGTGCTGTTGGGTACCTATGACTACCATGAAGACGGATTGCGAATTAATTACTCGTACAATAATCCTGAATGGAATCGTAAGAAAACAAAAATAAAAAATAATAATAAACTTTCTTTTTCTGTTTCTAGTTGGCTATCCTCCTCCTGATAGAAGTATGCCCATTAGTCGGCTCCTCAACCAAGCTGCAATATATTCCATGGATGCCATCCTGGCCATTGGTATAATTATTGCAGTCCTGCTGCTTGTTTTTCAAATTGTCACCATCAGAAAACCGTAAGAGATTATTATTATTATCATCATTATTATTATTATCATTATTATTATTAATTATTTAAATAATTAGATGCCAGCCGAATTTCTTAAGAAATATGGACACTAGGTGTAATTAAAAAAAGAATAAGAGAAAGCCATTAGCACCCTACATGCCACTGATTTGCAAATTATAGCAATTTCTTTGACTGGCACAAGTGATCAAACCTTTAGTTTCATTCCATGAATTAACATGCTTTATGCAAATAGTTGCCACATAAACAAGTTGTCTTACTAAATTTTATATATTCACTCCTTCTCTCTTATTCACCTTACAAATGACTTGATATTCTTCGTTTTCCTGGTCGTAGCAAGCTAGTAGAAACCCGCCATACTTTCCTGTTCTCTTTCCCATTTAATGAAACTCACCAACCACAACGAGATCTAGTGTGTTGCCCACACCCTCCAGATAATCCTTCTTAAGCTACAAATAAAACTAAAAAGAATTATTATAATAATGATAATTATAACGAGTTACTTTTAGCCAGTTGTGGGATCTCTTTGATATTTCATATGATGCATCTTTATCAAGACACTTGACCATTAAGCCTTCACAATTACCTATAGACGAAGAAGATATAGACAAGAATAGATACATCTATAACATACATGCACATTATAGATATTGAGAGTTACAAGTCAGTATGCATTATAGTCCTGGAAAGACATACCTTTAATTGATAAGCTCCAAAATGTCTTCAATATTAGTAGAATTGATACTTTGAACAAGCATAAACTCCTGTTAATACAAAGTACCGGTAAGTAAAGGTTATACAGCGAGGTGGAGGAGGTATCTGTGGCATTTATGATACCTCAGCTGTAGGCCCGAGATATCATGATAAGCAGACACAGAGTTGATAAGCAACTTCTACCATGTACTAAAATAAACAACTAGTTTACTATGGCAACCCTTACCTCCCGGCCACTTATTAATCTGTCTGGGGAATTCACTTATAAGCCTCCTTTACCAGGAAATTACTCAACCAAGCGGATGCAACCAAGCGGATGCTACAATATAAATGCCATAGAGATTAGAGAAACTGATACAGAGATGTATAACCGACTTCTACCACGACATTTGAAAAAACAACTACCAGCTGCAGATAATAAGACCACAGTTGACATACATACAACATATCTAACAGGCTAGGCAGTAAAGAATCAACCAAGCTTGACAAATGGACTAATAAGAAATAAGAGCATCATCTAGCGCCAGGTTTCTAAGTGTTCCCTGGAGGTATCTAATAGATTTAGAAACCTTTGCATTGCAACTAGGCATGGTAGAAGTTAAGCGATTATTATTATTATTATTATCATTATTTTATTTATTTATTTATTTATTTATAATTTAGTTTAATGGCAAATTCAGCTCCATATATAAATATAATCCTTATAATCGGTTGTATTGTCATGATGGGCTCATCAATATTACTGGGCATTGACTCTGGAACACCTCAAGTCACTGATGGGAACAGAGATAACATCCTCGATGAAATCAATGATTCCGCTAAAAACAGATACGCCATCATTTGCATGGTAAGCCCCTCCCACTTCCTGTCATGTGATAATCATGTGATATAGACTCGTACATGGTTACTAACCATTGGATTCACTCTATCCTTTGGATCTCTCTTTGCTAAGACCTGGCAGGTCTATAGAGTTTATTTGGATGAAAGAAAAAAGAACAAAGTAAAAATGAAAATTTAATTGTTTTTTTTTTCATTTTTTTCATATTCCTTCCTTCTCTGTAGCCATTGAAGATGTGGAATTTCCTCCTCATAATGGTGATACAGTTAATTGTTGATGTTATCTTCTTATCCATTTGGACCGGATTATTCCGTTTTAGACACGGGATAGACACAGTTAAAGTGAGAAAAAATAACTTGAAACATTTATTTATTATTACTTTTTATTTTAGGATAACAACAATATTAATTACTCTAAATTTGAAAAGTGTGAATGCAACGGTTTCATTTACCTAATTGGTACATTGTGCGCCTATAAAGGTCTCCTTCTCGTCTTCGGACTCTTCTTGGCCTACGAGAGCAGGAATGTCAAATACACTTTCATCAATGATTCTCGTTTTGTCTCAATAGCAATGTACATTGTAGTGGTTCTCATTGCCATTAGCGCCCCCTTGAGCCTGGTACTCGCTAACCAGCACTTCATAGATCATGCCTATGTCGTTGCTGTTTTAATGATCACTATAGCTTCCTTGAGCTGTCTCCTTGTCTTGTATGTTCCTAAAGTAAGTAATGCTGGTCTGATTTAGAAGAATCAATGCACAGTGTAGCCTCTATAATAAGGACACCTTTAAAATGAGGACACTTTTATAATGAGGACATTTTGTAATGTCCCAATTGGTACAAACCTATACAAAAGTACCTCTGAAACAAGGACACCTATGTATTAAGGACAGGTAGTGTGGGCCCAATGGTGTCCTTAATAAAGAGGCTACACTGTACATGTATTAAGGACAGGTAGTGTGTGTCCAATGGTGTCCTTAATAAAGAGGCTACACTGTACATGTATTAAGGACAGGTAGTGTGGGCCCAATGGTGTCCTTAATAAAGAGGCTACACTGTACATGTACATGTACAGTGTAATTTTATTATTTAAATCATTTTATTCTTTTCCTAGTTCTTTTATTTGGCTAAAGGACTAGACGCAATGGTATCAAACAATAAAGCCGAGGTCTTTACGCCAGTTGACAACCTTAAGTTAGGCTACCAGGAGGAAACTGATACCACCACCTGCAACACACCAAACAGTGACAACCAGACCACTAATGTGACCAGTTTCTCAACAAGCCCTGGTACTACGCAGCCCAACACTCCAGCTGACATTATGACGACAGGAGACTCCTGTGGTAGCAGTGTTCCCTCTTCTTCTGAGAAAGAGGATTTTGAGTTTCGACAAGATGAAAGACCTTAAGAACTGACCGTCCACTAAAGCATATACTCAGCAATAATCATTTATTGTCTTTTAATATATAACTATATCTAATTTATTTTTTGTCTATAGATTCATCAAAATGTTTGTTTTTTAACAAAAAAATTACCTTGAAATTTACACTCAACACCCACGCACAACCAATTATTGTAATTGCTGGCAAGACCACGCCTTTCATGAATATTAATGAGTAGTGAAGGGCGTGGTCTGTGTATCTTTGAACAAAAAATCTTTCTACTATGAAGTGTTGTAGGATCTGTACTGCTGGGAATTGTGCCCGTTTTCTGCACCTCACCATCACTTTATTCGTCTTTTACGTTCTCCTAATGGCCCCCACGTCAGGTAGGGCTGAAACTAATCAACAAAAACGTCTAAATCTTTTCTTTACAGATCTTCACAGTGACTGGGTAGAAAACAACTTCCGATTCTATTCCGCTTTATTTCTGTACATTTCTTCAAATATCTGCTACCTCACAGCAAGTATAATGGACCCTGGATACGTTAAACTGTACAAACTCGACAATACCAAAATGATGACAGGACAAAGAGTAATAAAATTAAATAAATAAAATAATATAATTCGTTTATTTGTTACATTAATAAACAAATTACATTATTTTATTTATTTGATTTTATTGTTGTAGTTGGAGGAGTCATACAGTGATACTGATGTTAGCTCCAGAGGAGTTTATTGTTCGATTTGTGAGCTAGAGCAAGTGATGAGATCAAAACACTGCAAGGTGTGTCAACTTTAATTAGTTTCAGTTTCGATTTTTAATGTTAGAATTTTTATTGATTTATGTTAAATAAACTTGGCTACTTTCTATTTTTACATTATTTGTTATTTTTATGCTGTATAGAAAGTTTGAGCTCATTTCGACTTAATTTTTTTGAGTTATGGCCATTTAAAGAATTAGGCCAAAATGTAAAAAATACCCTGTACTATAGCCCATGCTTTTTTCTGAAAAATGGCCAAAAAATGATCCCCAATTTTTATTGAATTTTCTGATGCATATTGACGTCTTTATGCTATGTAGAAAGTTTGAGTTGATTCCGACTTAATTTTTTCAAGTTACGGCCATTTTAAGAAAAAGGCTGAAATCTGAAAAATACCCAAGGCTATAGCCCATGCTTTTTTCCGAAAAATGGCCAAAAAATGACCCCCAATTTTTATTACATTTTCTAATACATATTGATGTCCTTATGCTATGTAGAAAGTTTGAGTTGATTCTGACTTAATTTTTTCAAGTTACGGCCATTTTAAGAAATAGGCCAAAATCTGAAAAATACCCAAGGCTATAGCCCATGCTTTTTTCCAAAAAATGACTAAAAAATGACCCTCAATTTTTATTAAATTTTCTGATGCATATTGACATCCTTATGCTGTGTAGAAAGTTTGAGCTGATTCCGACTTAAATTTTTAAAGTTACAGTCATTTTAAGAAATTATACCAACACACCCATAGTGGTATTGAGCTTTATAAACTCTACAATTAATTAAATGCTATTTTTGGTTCTGTGTTCTAGTTGTGTGAACGTTGTGTCCAGAGGTTCGACCACCATTGTCCGTGGCTTGGTAACTGCGTCGGCGAACGGAACCATAGATTTTTTTGGCTCTTCCTTTTACTAGAGACAATACTACTCATTTGGGCTGTGTTTGTTGCCTGGTTAGTATATCTCTATACACCCCTGTATATTATTAGTATATTTTTAGGAGTTCTCTACAGACGGCCTCTGGGTTTTTATCATGGCTAAAACTAAACATACTAACATTTCCCTGTCTAATAACAGTCGTTATAAGCTCCATGATATGCAGTATGTTGCTTGCTTTTCATTCCTTTCTTGTCTTCTCTGGCATGACAACGTGGGAAATGGCGTCAAGATTTAGGATTACGTATCTAAAGGACTTAGATCCTCCTGTCAACCCATTTGACGAGGGTTGCTTGCTGAATACAGCCCACGTTTTTTGTTGTCCTAACCAAGACTGGTCTGACATGTATAATAGTAGATCTTACAAAACAGTGACTCCTTAAAATTTTAATATTCATTAAGTAAGTAGAACAAAGGATTGTTGTTGTTTATCTATTTATCACAAATTGCACAAATATTTGCTCTATTTCTCAATTGTCTTTTTTTGTAAATAATTTCTTTTCAAGTATTCCCATTTAGCTTTGTAGTTGTTACGAAATGGGTACCATTTGTAGTACGGAACCTGAAGAGAAAAGTGGAAGAGAGAGAGAGAAATGTAACATCAATATTTAAACAATCATACTTGTATGAATTCCCAGCCGAAAGCTTCCAGCTGCCTCCTCTTTATGACACTTTTTCCAAGCTCATGTTTAATATTGACAGCATAATGAAATGGGCCTTCAATCTCAATTATTATTCTCCTTTTAGCAGCTGCAACTCTCCCTCCATCAGTCCATCCACTGGATATATTATACAACCCTTCACCTTTATTCTTAGTATCTTTGAATATTTTGGATAACCTTTTCTGAGAAACAGGCACATCCTCCATGCAAAGCTGTTTCAAACCAGCTTGACTCCATTTAAAATTTTGATTTCCAGGTGGTATAGGATCATCATTTGCATCTAACAAGATCTCAGCATCAACAGAGTAGCCATTAGGCATATAAGCTTCTGGGATATGAAGCTTCTCAGCATTAAATAAATAACTTGAGTCTCCTTTTGATGAGTGAAGTAACTTGTTTAGTGTTTCTCTGATATTCTTTTCCAATTTTGATTTTGTAATGGGCTTTTCTGTCAGTGTTTGTGATAAAATGGAGGAACGTTGAGAAGGAGAGAGAGAGGGAAGGGAGAGGTGGGGGTTAGTCATTGATGCATTGTCCAGCTGTAGTACAGTAGGAAGGTAATTGTTAACTACAAAATAAAATAATTCATGAAAATAATAAAAAAAATACTTGCCCTCCTAATACTTATTGCACCTCTACTACTATGGTTCTTCAAGATTCAGGTCAAAATAATTATTTCTATGAGGCATAAAAGCTCAATATTAGATACAGCTGGTATCATTGCACCACCAGAATTATCAAGAGGCGAGTTGGTAATAATACAATAATTATACCTTTTATAAATTCGTCTTTGAAAACCTGCACAATCAAAGGTACTGGATACAACTCAAGGACAAGAAAAGACCACAAAATGTTGACAAAAGCTTGTGAATTTTGAAACGCATAAGTACTTCCATAGGAGACCAAAAGCTCTTCAAGTGCTTTAAACAAAGCTGGTGAAGGATGATTGAAATACCCATAGGCATACACAAAACTAGATAAAGTGTGTGGCTCCATTCTACAAAGTAGCGGTAATGCAACTTCAGCTGCTCTGTCCAACAGTACTGGATCATAATGTCTCACTTTTGCAAGCATCCAAAGCATATGTGACAACAGACGTGGGTCGCACCAATGTCTTGCTTTACTGGATAACAAGATCTCTCTCATCTTGTCATAAAACTCTTTACTGTAGTAATGCAATGACTTTCCTGACACCCACAGTAAATGCGATACGACACTAGTGGATTCACTTTCAAGTATTAATGTTGATGCTTTCTCAAAGATCCAATCTTTAAGAGGAATGTTGCTTTTCTGCAAAGACCAGATAATGATTGCTACAGAAAAATCATCCATTACATCAATACTCCTGTACAGGTAACCTAACAGTGGATCTGTTAACTCTTTCGGCCATCTTCCAAGTCTAGCAAAACCCCTGCAAATCTCCCTTAGCGAGACATGACAATCAAAAGTCTTGCTGGTGAGTTGATGTGCAACGATGGCTGCAATATGGTCAATCAATTCTGTCCGCCCTGTTTTAATGTTAAAGAGAACTAAAGAATTAACAATAGAGCGTATGTCCTCAGGTGGGAGTTCAGATAAACTTTTACCGCTTTCTTCTATCAAAGATAAAATGGTATCAGCTGCTCTTGGGTTAATGTTAGTTTTTAATTTACCAAAATAAGAGAGTAGTTGAACCAGGTCTGGCAATGACAGCAAATGCACGTCTCTTGTAATGTCATTGCAAAGTTTCTGAAGAGTTTCATTATTTTTATTTTTTAGTGGAGAGGATTTTATACTGGCCTTACCCTGAAAGCTCGTTTGAGACACAGCTTTCAAAACTTGCAACCTATCAAAGACAATAAGAGGCTCCTTGTACCTTCCCAATATTTCCATTGAGGAGTTGAGTGATTCTGCTCGTAATATTGAAGATAATAAAGAACCAATCATCATGTCAGACCTCGTGTCAGAGTAAGTTTCAGTGGCCTGATATTGAGAAGGAGGAGGGCCTGCTGACCGGGTGGAACTGGCTCTGGTTAGTTTAGGAGAGACTACGGAGGATGAGAAAGAGAAGGAAGGAGGCAAGAACAGTCTCTGGAACTGAAATCTGCCATGGAGTCGACCCAATGTGTGCATGTTGCTTTTAATAAACTATTAATAACTTAACTATAATAATTATTAATTAGTAACTTTATTAAGGACTATTTCTTAATTGTTTTTCTTTGTAAACAATTTATTTTTCAAGTATTCACTTTGAAGTGTGTAGTCGTAACGGAGTGGCTCCCATTCGTAGTATGGGACCTGAAGAGAAAATGGAGAAAGAAATGTAACATCAATATTTAAACAATCATACTTGTATAAATTCCCAGCCAAAGGTTTCCAGCTGCCTCCTCTTTATGACAATTCTTCCAAGCTCATGGTTAATATTGGCAGCATAATGAGACGGGCCTTCAAACTCAATTATTATTCTCCTTTTAGCAGCTGCAACTCTCCCTCCATCAGTCCATCCACTGGATATATTATACAGCCCTTCACCTTTATTCTTAGTATAATTAAATATTCTGGATAACCTTTTCCAAGGAACAGGCACATCCTCCATGCAGAGCTGTTTCAAACCAGCTAGACTCCATTTAAAATTCTCATTCCCAGATGGTATAGGAACACCATTTTCGTCTAACAAGATCTCAGCATCAACAGTGTAGCCATTAGGCATCCGAGCTTTTGGAATTAGAAGCTTCTCAGCATTAAATAAGTTACTTGTGTCGCCCTTTAAGGAGTGAAGTAACTTGTTTAGTGATTCTGTAACAATCTTATCAAATGTTGATTTTCTAATGGGCTTTTCTGTCAGTGTTTGTGATAAAATGGAGGAACGTTGAGAAGGAGAGAGAGAGGGAAGGGAGAGGTGGGGGTTAGTCATTGATGCATTGTCCAGCTGTAGTACATCAGGGAGGTAGTAATTGTTAGCTGCGAAATAAAATAAAAATTCATCAAAATAATAATAAGATATACTTGCCCTCCTAATAATTACTGCACCTCTATTACATTGTACATGGCTTCAATCATAAAAACCTTCAATTCAAGATCCCCCCCCCCCCCAGTTATGTCAAAATAATTATTTTTTGTAAGGCCATAGTTGCATGTTCCTATCTAAACAATGAACTGTGATTAATTATTGATATCAAGAGGCAAGTTAATTACTTAATTAGGAAGGGTATGGTAATGATAATACAATAATCATACCTTTTATAAATTCGTCTTTGAAAACCTGCTCAATCAAAGGTACTGGATACAACTCAAGGACAAGAAAGGACCACAAAATGATGGTGAAAGCTTGTGAACCTTGAAGCTCATAAGTACTTCTATTAGAGACCAAAAGCTCTTCAAGTGCTTTAAACAAAGCTGGTGAAGGATGATTGAAAAACCCATAGACGTACACAAAAAGAGATAAACTCTGAGACTCCATTCTATAAAGTAGCGGTAATGCAACTTCAGCTGCTCTGTCCAACAGTACTGGATCATAATGTCTCACTTTTGCTAGCATCCAAAGCATATGTGACAATAGACGTGGGTCGCACCAATGTTCTGAATCACTGGATAATAAGATCTCCTTCATCTTGTCGTAAAACTCTTTGTTGTAGTAATGCAATGACTTTCCTGACACCCACAGTAAAAATGATACCACAATAGTGGATTCACTTTCAAGTATTAATGTTGATGCTTTCTCAAAGATCCAATCTTCAAGAGGAATGTTACTTTTCTGCAAAGACCAGATAATGGTTGCTACAGAAAAATCATCCATTACATCAATACTCCTGTACAGGTACTCTAACAGTGGATCTGTTAACTCTTTCGGCCATCTTCCAAGTATAGCAAAACCTCTGCAAACCCGCCTTAGCGAGACATGACAATCAAAAGTCTCACTGGTGAGTTGATATACAACGATGGCCACAATATGGTCAATCAATTCTGTCCGTCCTGTTCTAATGTTAAAGAAAGCTAAAGATTTGATGATTGACCCAATGTCTTGAGGAGGAAGTTCAGATAGACTTTTACCACTTTCTTCTATCAAAGATAAAACGGTGTCAGCTGCTCTTGGGTTAATGTTAGTTCTTAACTTGCTGAAACAAGAGAGTAGTTGAACCAGGTCCGGCAACGAGAACAAATGCAAATCTCCCATAATGTCGTTGCAAAGTTTTTGAAAAATTTCATTACTTTTTAGCGGAGAGGATTTCATATTGGTGGCCTTGTCCTGAATGCTCGTTTCAGACACGGCTTTTAAAACTTGCAGTTGATCAAAGACAGAGAGAGGCTCCTTGTACCTTCCCAGTATTTCCATTGAGGAGTTGAATGATTCTGCTCGTGACATTGAAGATAATAAAGAACCAATCATCATGTCAGACCTCGTGTCAGAGTAAGTTTTAGTGGCCTGATATTGAGAAGGAGGAGGGCCTGCTGACCGGGTGGAACTGGCTCTGGTTAGTTTAGGAGAGACTAGGGAGGATGAGAAAGAGAAGGAAGAAGGCAAGAACAGTCTCTGGAACTGAAATCTGCCATGGAGTCGACCCAATGTGTGCATGTTGCTTTTAATAAACTATTAATAACTTAACTATAATAATTATTAATTAGTAACTTTATTAAGGACTACATGTATTTCTTAATTGTTTTTCTTTGTAAACAATTTATTTTTCAAGTATTCACTTTGAAGTGTGTAGTCATAACCGAGTGGCTCCCATTCGTAGTATGGGACCTGAAGAGAAAATGGAGAAAGAAATGTAACATCAATATTTAAACAATCATACTTGAATGAATTCCCAGCCAAAGGCTTCCAGCTGCCTCCTCTTTATGACACTTCTTCCTAGCTTATGGTTACCATTAGCAGCAAAATGAAGCGGGCCATCAATCTCAATTATTATTCTCCTTTTAGCAGCTGCAACTCTCCCTCCATCAACCCATCCACTGGATATATTATACAGCCCTTCACCTTTATTCTTAGTATCTTTGAATATTTTGGATAACCTTTTCCAAGGAACAGGTACATCCTCCATGCAAAGCTTCTTCCAAGCAGCTAGACTCCATTTAAAATGCTTATTTCCAGGTGGTATAGGATCATCATTTTCATCTAACAAGATCTCAGCATCAACAGTGTAGCCATTAGGCATGTGAGCTTCTGGAATAAAAAGCTTGTCCTTACTTGAGTCCACCTTTTTGAAGTGGAGTAACTTCTCCAGTGTTTCTGTGATATTCCTTTCAAATCTTGATCTGAAAATGGCATGCTTAGTTATCAGCATCTCTGATAAAATGGAGGAACGTTGAGAAGGAGAGAGAGAGGGAAGGGAGAGGTGGGGGTTAGTCATTGATGCATTGTCCAGCTGCATGATAGTTTGAAAAGAGTGTGAGTTGGCTAAAAAATAAAATAAAATTAATCACAGTACTAATACAATAATTATACCTTTTATAAATTCGTCTTTGAAAACCTGCTCAATCAAAGGTACTGGATACAACTCAAGGACAAGAAACGACCACAAAATGTTGACAAAAGCTTGCGAATTTTGAAACGCATAAGTACTTCCATAAGAGACCAAAAGCTCTTCAAGTGCTTTAAACAAAGCTGGTGAAGGATGATTGAAAAACCCATAGGCGTACACGGAATTAGATAAATCCTGAGGCTCCATTCTACAAAGTAGCGGTAATGCAACTTCAGCTGCTCTGTCCAACAGTACTGGGTCATAATGTCTCACTTTTGCTAGCATCCAAAGCATATGTGACAACAGACGTGGGTCGCACCAGTGTCTTGCTTTACTGGATAACAAGATCTCTCTCATCTTGTCGTAAAACTCTTTGTTGTAGTAATGCAACGACTTTCCTGACACCCACAGTAAATGTGATACGACACTAGTGGATTCACTTTCAAGTATTAAGGTTGATGTTTTCTCAAAGATCCAATCTTCAAGAGGAATGTTACTTTTCTGCAGAGACCAGATAATGATTGCTACAGAATAATCATCCATTACATCAATACTCCTGTACAGGTAACCTAAAAGTGGATCTGTTAATTTTTCCGGCCATCTTCCAAGTACCGCAAAACTTCTGCAAGTCTTCTTCAGCCAGTAGTGCTGATCATAAGTGTGCAAGGCAAGTCGGATTTTAAGAGCGGCAACAATGTGGTCAATCAATTCTGTCCGTCCTGTTCTAATGTTGAAGAGAGCTAAAGAGTTGACAATAGACCCAATGTCTGGAGGAGGAAGTCCAGATAGACTTTTACCACTTTCTTCTATCAAAGATAAAACGGTATCAGCTGCTCTTGGGTTAATGCTAGTTCTTAACTTGCTAAAACAAGAGAGTAGTTGAACCAGGTCCGGCAAAGACAGCAAATGCAAGTCTCCCATAATGTTGTTGCAAAGTTTTTGAAAAGTTTCATTATTTCTTAGCGGAGAATACATGGCCTTTTTGTAAGATCTTATTTCAGACACGGCTTTCAAAACTTGCAACCGATCAAAGACAGAGAGAGGCTTTTTGTACTTTCCCAGTATTTCCATTGAGGAGTTGAGTGACTCTGCTCGTAATATTGAAGATAATAAAGAATTATTATCAGGATTTGTTTTAGTGGCCTGATATTGAGAAGGAGGAGGGCCTGCTGACCGGGTAGAACTGGCTCTGGTTAGTTTAGGAGAGACTAGGGAGGATGAGAAAGAGAAGGAAGAAGGCAAGAACAGTCTCTGGAACTGAAATCTACCATGGAGTCGACCTAATGTGTGCATGTTGCTTTTAACTAACCATTAATAACAAGCCACGCCTAATACTAAAGGATCTAGTTTATTTTTAACCCCCACGCCTATTAAAGATGGAGGCTGGAGTGGTCTCAGCTGTGTGGGGCAAAGACATAGCTCAGGACGTGTTTCAGAGATGGAATCAAGGCAAGAGAGCTTCAGGATACTTTTATTTTGCATTTTATCTTTTATTTTAGGATTTATTTTCAGCTCAAAAGAGCCTCTGGCGTTAGTTCAGTACAGTGGGGGCCCCTGTGCTGTTTTGGCTCCAGTACAGGTCTGGCATCACGTGATCAAGTAGACGTATGATCTTTTGTGTAGGCTTTTATATTTCAAAAACATTTATACGAAGACAGAGACAACGACAATCTTGATAATGAGGACTGGAGGAAGTGTGAAAGTAAGTCTTTAAACATAAAATTGGACTATGTAGCAGAAACTGTCATTGTAAAATTCATCATAATGTTAAAAATTGCGAAAATAAATATAAAATTATTATTAAATTTTAAGTTATCATTATTTTAGGTTCTGTGGCTCAAGGATTATTAATATCTGTCCTCTCTCATATTCTAATTAATGCCAGCTCTGATGGCACCTGCAGACTTGCCTTACTCGATTCCAAAGCTCCACCCACTTCGACAGTTGCCATGGATACAATAGCACAAGTCACACCTACTCAAACGGGTGGAGTGAGTGGTGGGTTGAAGAGGAAGCATCCCTCGCCTCTTTCAGAGGAAAAGACAAGTGGAATAAAACGAGAACCTTCTCTCTCCCTTCCTCCTCTTATAACGGGCAGCTCCATTGAGAAATTATTGGAAAAGGTCAAAAGGAAAGAGGAGGGGAGTGGTCACGGCCAGGAGAGTGGGTGTGGTCTTACATTAGAGGCACTTTCGTCAGCTTTACGTAGCGTTAGAGAGAGACAGCAGGAGGAGGAGGAGGAGGAGGAGGGAGAAGATCAAGAGTTGAGAGCTATTGATAATAAAATGATGTCAAGTGATGCATTAGGTCAAACCGGTTTAGCTAGCCGTCAAACCGGTTTGACTGGATCTGGTGATATTTCGTCAGCTACTACTAAAACAAGAGCTGAGGATTTTCATTCTAAAATAAGGTCAATATATTAATAATTAACTAACCATTATTAATAGTTAATTAACCAGTATTGGTAGTTAATTAACCACTATTAATAGTCAATGTTTATTAATTATTTTAGGGTGTGTCACTGCACTGACTTGGGTAGCACTGTTAGATGCATTAGAGAGAATTTGAGTGATTTCTTCAGCTCATACGGAGTCCTATTATTCCTTTATTCTGTAGTACTTACTAAAGTAAGAAAGGACATAAACCCATTCACTCAATAGTTTAAGAATTAGTATTATAATAAACAATTATTACTGTGTTATAGTGTCCATAATATACCACTGATATGCAACTAGTATTAGTAGCACTAAAGTAAGAAAGGAGTTATATTTACCCATCCACACTCCACTATCAGTATTACACTATTACAATATTGCATGTATTGCATCTACAACTGAACTAAACTATAACACAGTATTGAGGTACACCAGCAGTTAGGAACTGTAGTGTGGTTGTTATGGTGGATGTCATCATGTCTTTTAGGGAATTGATAGAATATCTGAGGAAAGAGAAGAAACTGAGCAACCGTTGATAGACCCACTTCATGGCCACGGAAGGTTGTGTCTTATTATTTTATTATTTTTAAGTTAATTTGAATAAATATTAGTCAGAATTTGATTAATTTGCTATTGACTGGACGCTGTGTTACCAACGTCTTTGATTTGGATAAAGATCTTGGAGGAATGAGTAAGTTAATTATAATTATTCAATAATTACTAACAATAATTATTCAAAATATTACTGCTAGTTTATGATTGTCTTCTCTCTCTCTCCTTGTTTAGAGTTGCTTGGCATTCCAAGGCAATCCACAGTTGGTTTTTTAACGATATTAGAATCTCTTCATTACTGTGAGGTCTGTCTGTCTGCAAATTACTCCTAGTAGTTAGAACAACTTTAAAAATTCGTAAAAAATTCATTTGTGATCGGAATCAGCTCAAACTTTCTACACAACATAAGTACATGTATATGCATCAGGAAATGTAATAAAAATGGAGAATTTTCTACTTTTCATTTTTGGCAAAATTTGGCCCGCGACCCTGTACTATAGTACAGGGACTTTTGTCCGATTTTGGAGCAACTTTAAAAAATCGTAAAAAATCCAAACTTGATCGGAATCAGCTCAAACTTTCTATGCAACATAAGAACATGTATATGCATCAGGAAATGTAATAAAAATGGAGAATTTTCTACTTTTCATTTTTGGCAAAATTTGGCCCGCGACCCTAGTACAGGGACTTTTGTCCGATTTTGGAGCAACTTTAAAAAATCATAAAAAATCCAAACTTGAAGTACAGAAAAATTGGAGAACTCTCTCCTCCTACTATAATTTTTATAATGTTTAGGTTGGTAGTTTTCTAAAGAATCCTATTTATCCTGTCTGGTTGATAGCCAGTGAGACTCACTTGACTGTACTTTTCTCACTGGTGAGCTACAGCTGTTGCTAGGGAACCTCCCCTTGTTGCTAAGGGGTATTTTATGTACGTCTTGTTTTGTAGGAGATCGGTCTTACTTCTGAAGAAGATGCACAATCTGTGGCCAAGAGAGAATTCTCACGATTTAGTATTGAAGGTGAAAGTGAAAATTATTACTATTATTATTATTATTAAGAGCAGTTGTTATTATTAATTATTTATTGTTATTTTTATTATTTAAAGGTGATTCTTGTCTAATGGCTACTGACAAGTTAACTGATCTATTACAAAAGTTAAATCTTGAGACAGACTCTGGCTAGTAAGCTAATAGCCTATTGCAGCTGCTACTCTTCCCTCCTTTTCTCTCATTGCAGTGTTGAGTATATGAAGAAGAAACTAGACAAGGAGAGTGCAGGGATTATTCTGCTTAGTGATTTTTTAAACGAGTTTTATCCTTTTCCAGTAAGCTTTCTCCTTTTCTCTTCTCTCCTCTCTCTCTCTCTCTTTCCTCCAGCAGATGGAATGTGAAAGACCCAAAGCATTTACAGTTTATCATTACAACGGATTAATACACAACAACGAAGATGAGGTAAGTGTAAAATCTAGTGCCATAATAATAATAATAATAATAATAATAATAATAATAATAATTTTACTTTCTCCTCAGATCCAGCTTGCCAGAGGGCAGGCAGTGGCCCTTGGTGAAGCAGGCGGTACTAGTTCAGACATTTCTTTAATTAACTGCCTTCAGACAAAATGGCCCGACCTTATCATACATTGGGATGGTGGAACGGATCCTAAAATTATTTAAAGAATACAAAACCTCTCTCCCTCTCTCCTTCCCTCCAGCAACAATCAGCTATCGATCAGGACATTAATTGGAACTAATTATTTACATTATCATCTTTAACTTTCTCATCTAATAATTTAAATGTTTTCTCTCTCCCTCTCTTTCGTATAATAAAAATAATTAATTGGAAAAATCAAAATGAAAAATGTGTGTGTATTAACTGTACATAACCAATAATCAACAACAATAATAATAATAATGATAAGAATTATGTCAAATTGTGGATATAAAATCATAATAATTGAAAAGAAAAGAGGAAAAGCAACATAAAATGTGTGCCATATTCATATACAAATACATTCAATAATAATAATAATAATAATAATAATAATAATAATAATAATAATAATAATTATACATGTATATATTCAATCAATATTAATATTAATCTACTGTTGTTTCATTGCATATCCTTTAAGTCCGTCATGCCCAAAAATATCCCCCAGGGGGTCATCATTATTACCAGCAGAAGCCCCGCCCCCCACAGAATTCAATTTTGATACGTCTACCGGAGTTAAGGAACCGATTAAAGAGCTTTCAAGTGAAGCCGTACCTCTCTTTCTCTCAAAGTTCTTGAGTCCTGAGCCGGAATAAGGTTGGGGCTTTAAAGGTGGAGCTCCCCTAGCAATGGGAGGGCTGTCCTTGGCAATAAGTGCTCCGCCTGGTTTAAAAGGATTACTGTCGTACTCTCCAGGGGTGAGAATTGGTTGCCAGGGGTCGTTAGGAGGTCTTACCATTTCATTAATCACTGGCATACGCTGGTCACTAGTAATGGAATTATAAGTGGGCGTGGCCATACTTGAAGTAGTTAATCCTGTTTCAGTAAAAGTCGTATCCCTCAGTGCTCTCTGAAGCTCTTCCCCTGCCGTTGAAACTGACCCGGCGGTGAACGGATCACTGATTCTGCGTGAACTCTTGATCAGCGCGTCAGCAACTGCAGATCCGAAATCAGATGACGGAGAGTTCCGATTGGTCAGTTCAAATATTTCGTGTAAGTCCCCGCCTTTACCCTTCTCCCCTCCCTTAAGGTGCTTCTTTCTAGGAGGAGGGACAGGGGGCATTAGGGACGGAGGGGACTCTGAGATGTGCTCATTTTTAGTAACAGTATCAACTCCGCCCCAAGAGGAGGAGGAGCTCGAGGAGACTATGGAGGCGGAGTCAGTGTCCCCCTCGTCCGATAGAACCGGTCTGATCAGTACTGGGGTAGGCATGCGCTCGATGGTATGGACTGAGTCCGTTAGATCGACCAGTTGACCAGTAGCTACCTCCAGCGAGTCCTTACTGCTGATACTCACCGACTCAGCACTATTATCATCGAGACTCAGTCTCTGGTTATTATCAGAGATAGGCGTGGTTATTATAAGGGGCGGGGCTTCGGTGAGTGAACTTCTCTTTCTTTGGAGGTCGAGCATCTGATTCAGTTTGTCCATACCAACCTTGTGCTGTGAGTAAGGGATCACTGGCGGAGGGACTTTGGACTACAGAGGAGGGAGAATAAGAGGACATGATACAGTATTAGGATCATGTGGTGGGTTACTTTGTGTCGTCCATCTTGACTGCTCCCAGTGGCTGGTAGTGTGGAGGATTTATTTGACAAGTTAGGACTCCAGCTGGGATACATATCGCTAATCCTCTCCTAAGAATAATAATAATAATTAAAAATTAATAATAACATCCTACATTTCCTTTCCCTTGGAACAGGTTCTTGGTATCTTTCATTAAAGTTCGGGTGTTTTTAGCAACCTTGGTGCTGTGTTTATGGAGCAAATCCTACAAAAATGTAACACAAACATTGTTAAAATTTCAAAATATCTAACACCAGCTGCTACCAACACACAGAGAAAACTTGACAGGAATTCACACACAAGGACTTCCCTTACCTTCATGTCCTTGAAAGCAACCTTCATCTGATCCGACGACCACTTCCCCGACTTCAGCTCTTCCTCGTAGATGATGACCTCATCGTCAAACATGTCCCTATCCTTGTTCGAGTTGAGTCTGTCTATCCTCCCATTTATGAACTGCTGGAAGTGTTGGAACTCGAGTAGCAAAGACAAGAACTCTTCCATGTGGGGCCTGGACTTTATGAAACTGTGGGAGAGAGAAAGAGAGAGAGAGACAGACAGACAGACAGACAGACAGACAGACAGAGAGAGACAGACAGAGAAAGATAAAAGAATAAATATTGAAGGAATTTACATTCAAATGTACATCTTACATACACACACATACATAAACAAGTACATGTATATAAAACTAAATCATTTAATTGTTAAACATACGCTTCTCTATCAAAAGAGACAGTGGATTCTCCTTCTCTCATCTTCAGAGCCAGTCGATATCCTCCCAGTAGTGCCACGTTAGCCTGTAGGAAAGCTTTAGTGCAAGTATCACCGTAAGCCGAAGAACTCTTTTTTAAAACGTTCTTTAATTGTGTGGAGACGTCCGGAGGAATGTTGAGCAGATCCTCGTAATACGGTGATTCAAGTTCGCTTTGATCAATGTCCAGTATGACAGCGTCGTTGATCGGCATAGCACGAACTTGATCCATCATGGAGGAGTGGATACCCATCAGGAAAGGCATTGGGGCTCTAATTAGAATAAACAACCGGGTGGCTTTAATTAGAGCAATTTAAATGAGGACAAATTGAATTAAAAATACAGATTACGTATAGTTTAAAAAAACAATTATCATAGAAGCATTAGTTAGGAAAGATTTATAGACGGGCATTAATTAGGATGGATTTATAGACGGGCATTAATTAGGAAAGATTTATAGACGGGCATTAGTTAGGAAAGATTTATAGACGGGCATTAATTAGGATGGATTTATAGACGGGCATTAATTAGGAAAGATTTATAGACAGGCATTAATTAGGAAAGATTTATAGACGGGCATTAGTTAGGAAAGATTTATAGACGGGCATTAATTAGGATGGATTTATAGATGGGCATTAATTAGGAAAGATTTATAGACGGGCATTAATTAGGATAGATTTATAGACGGGCATTAGTTAGGAAAGATTTATAGACGGGCATTAATTAGGATAGATTTATAGACGGGCACTAATTAGGAAAGATTTATAGACGGGCATTAATTAGGAAAAATTTATAGACGGGCATTAATTAGGATAGATTTATAGACGGGCATTAATTAGGATAGATTTATAGACGGGCATTAATTAGGATAAATTTATAGACGGGCATTAATTAGGATAGATTTATAGACGGGCATTAATTAGGATAGATTTATAAATGGGCATTAATTAGGATAGATTTATAGACGGGCACTAATTAGGATAGATTTATAGACGGGCATTAATTAGGATAGATTTATAGACGGGCACTAATTAGAACTCACGTGCAGTAATCAATGAGATGGTGTGGAGTAATTGGAATAAAAATGTGTTGCCTTTAAAAGGGAAGAAGTAATAATTGATAATAATAAAAAGAGATATTGAATTCTTACCAAAAAAGAGGATAGAGTAGTAATACACAGCCATGTACAGCTGCTGAGAGCTATAAGAAAATTAAAATAAAATAAAATAAATAAAAGGTACTCACAGTCTTTAAACTACTAGAAGTGATGATGATCCGTCTTTCAAATAACATACTAAAAGAGGGAGAGAGAGAGAGAGAGAGAGAGAGAGAGAGAGAGAGAGAGAGAGAGAGAGAAAGGCAGGTAAAACAGATAAGTACATGTACGGCATAAACTTACTTAGCGTATAAACACAGAATAACTTGATGATGTAGTGTTGGATAAAAAAGAGTTAAATTATGCTACAAAAAAAACAAAAATAAAATATACTGAAATATACTAAAATATACAGTACATGCACTATAAACACAAATATACACGGACTCACATCTGTTGGTATCTCTGGTAGTCTTTTAGTATTAGGTAAAGGAAAGGTGTACACCTAATAAGGAAGCAAAAGGTAGTGAAATAATGATCATACATATATGTACATGCTCTATTGTATTAGGTTACAGTTCTAGTGTGTGTTCATGAGATGATGGCTAATTGATAGTGAGTGTGTGGCGGTAGTGATAGTGGCAAAGTAAACATCAATGACTACTTCATGATAATGCTTCCTTTAAAAGCATCACATGAATAGACAGACAATTGTACACACACACACTATACAGTACATACTAAATAGGAAGACATACACCGTGCAAGCATGACTTTAAGATAGACAACCGTCTTAGTTTATTTACAATACATTATACCATAAAACAATACATGTACATTTAAAGGTACAATGTAGATTATCATATAATTATACATTTAAAAGTACATGTACATGCATGACTTTAAGATAGACAACCAGTCTTGGTTTATTTACAATACATTATGTAACAGATAGACTTTGGGATGGTAAAACTACATGTACATGTACATTGAAAGGTACAATGTAGACTATGTACATATGTACATACACATCCACTACATAAACACATACAAGTACATAATACATTTAAAAGTACATGTACATGTACATACATGCCTCCATTACATGTATTGTGTATAGTGTACCTGCCCAGTGTCTATCCCTTCAGGTACTAAAGTCATAACAGTTTCGGTATTGAGGGAAGGTACCGGGTGCTTGTAGAGGCTGGTCAGGAATGGATCAATCAGCTCCGTCTATGGATAGAAAGGAGGCGTGTCAACCCCGCCCACTCTTTTAATTGATTGGCATACCTGGAAGTCGGCGTGAAAGTCTGAGATTTTGTCCAATATTTTGTAGAAAACTTTGAACCAGGGAAGATCGCTAAAATAAGAACATAATTATAATAATTAAATAATAATAATAATAATAATAATAATAATAATAGATTTGTACACAATGTGCTGTAGAATGTAAATTCGTACATTCGTACATGTACATGTATCTATAACTGTATTTTCTATTTTTATTATTGTTAGTGATGATGTCATTCCAGTGCTAAGGTAAACATGTAGTCCATTAGCAACTGACATCATAACCATCATCATTATTAATTAATATACCAAAGATTAATAAACCCGTTAGCCTGTGTGGGCGTTAATTAACGAGTACTCAACACTTTGGAATGAAATACACGTACACGTACATGTACTCCCTTTTCCCTTTACCTTATGAAGCAGGAGCACACGTCGCCACGAGGAGGATACCGACAGAAACCAAAACGGAAGGTGCCTTGAAGATCCGTTAGACAAAAAGTGAAGTGTTCTTCAGCATTAGTGCTGGAAGAGATCAAAGGAGAGAGAGAGGAAGAGGGAGAGTAAATGTATGTCCACACTCAAGGTTGTCAAGTCATTTCACTTACTTTGAGTCTTTTGTGGGGAAGACAAACTTTGCCAGGTTTTTCTTTAGATCCTAAAATTAACAAAAAACAGGCACAACGTAAATACATGTACACCCACACACTCAATAACAAATTAAATATCAAATCAATGTGTCGTATCTTTTTGAGATATCAAGGTGTAATGTTCACGCATTTGAACTCACCTCATCAAACTGATGATCTTTGGGATATAATCTTTTGATCTCTGGAGCTGCATGGGAATGGAGTTATGGGAATAGAAATATAGGAATGAAAGTAGATAAATACATGTATGTTATACCTTTATCATCATGAGGCCTGATGTATTCAACGTAACATTCAAACGTTTGAGTCGGGTTTCTGAGAGAGAGAGGGGGGGGAGAGACAGAGACGACAGACATGATGATAACATGTGTGTGTATCTTAAATGACATCAGAGAGAGTATGATAACAGTGCAATGTCTTTAACACTGTCTCTATTACTACACACCTCATGTGACCTCTATTTAAAGTCTAGTACACTTCCTTCCATCATCTTATATCAAACATGTGGTAACCTCTCTCTCCTTCTCTTCCCCCCCTCTCTCTCCATTCAAATAATGCAGCTCTTGTTTACATTGTTTAGCAAGTGAAAGCTATCAAAAAACAGGCCCTACTCTACCCCTAACACATGTACCTGTACATGTACAGATACATACAAGTGTAGTTTTGTATGTAGTCAAGTTCCTCATAATAAGATGATTAACAGTCTCTAGTGTATTGTATACACTAGTCTACCTATTATTGTGTACTATAGACTGATAAACAACACTACATGGATACTATTGACAGACTCCCCACTGCATTTGTAACCATTGTTCATCATTTCTCTAAGTTCTTTCAATACAAATCATATTGTAATTCTTTACAACATAAGGGATAAGCTCTCCATAGCTTACTTCTTTACTCTAGAGTCCATTACTGTCTCCTTCTTCCCGGGAGGACCACAAAGAAAGAGAGAAAGAGAGAGAGAGGAAGACTGACTCGATGATACAAGAAGAGATTAAGAGAGATTACGGAAATGTAAAACAAAATCCGTATACCCACTAGGTCCGTATACTGAAGGGCGTGGCTACTTTCACGTGATCACAAGCATCACGTGATTATTACAAGATGGCGTCTAATGGAGAGCAGGTAATTTCAATAGCAAAATAACTCTCAAACCTTTCTTCCTCTGTCCCTCCAGTCAATGTTTTATGCTGTGGTAGTCACAGGATCTCCTCGTGAGACGACAGAGGGAGACGTTAGAAAGTTTTTTGAGGAAATTGCAGTGAAAGAAGTTAAATTTCAGACAGACGAGAGAGGCTGGAGAACTGGGAACAGCATTTACGTTCAACTTGAGACGTCAAAAGATTTCGAGTTAGCATGCACAAGAGACGGTCAACTCCTACTGTCTCAGAAGGTTGGGGTCCTCATGATATCAAAAGCTGATTACGAAAGAAGTACTGGATCTACTGGAAGAGGAGCTACTTATAATAACGGAGCGTACAACCAGGGGGCCGAAGGGGGAGTGAAAATAGTTAGTTTAATGATTGGGCGGGGCTTATACATTAATGGGGGCAGGGCTTTAAAACTACGAAATGACTTAATTAATATTAATAATAATTTTATTTCTAATAGGAGCATGAGACTCCTCCTACTGAGCCACGCCCACTTGTCGAATCCTACTTTGTACGTCTACGTGGCCTTCCCTACTCTGCAATGGCTTCCGACATACTTGACTTCCTTAAAGACGTTCAAGTCAAAGACGGAGAGAAAGGAGTCCATTTTTCCTTTGGTTCCGACGGCCGTGTCTCCGGAGAAGCCTACGTTGAGGTTTGTTCGGGAGGTGATGTGGAAAGGGCTCTTAGACATGACAGGGATCATTTGGGCGGGAGGTATATTGAGGTTTTCCGTGCGTCCCAGAACCAGTTCGAGTATGAATGTCATCCGATGAAGGGGCCGGGGGTAGGGGGAAGGGCAGGAGGTGTGGTCAGGCTGCGTGGGTTACCGTACGGGTCGACTGAGGATAACATAAGGGATTTCTTTCAAGGTTTGGGTATCAATTATTATTTATTTTATTTATTTATTTTATTATTTATTAATTTAATTATTTACTTTTATTTCTAGCTGAATAAAAAATTGTTTTAGATTCTCTCTTTATTTTATTTTCATTTCTTCTCCCCCTCCCTCTCTCTCCCCCCATATCCCTGTACATGTACTTTACCAGGTATTGCCATATCACACATTACAATGCAATTGAACGAAAGTGGAAGGGAAACTGGTGAAGCTTTTGTTGAACTCTTTCATGAAGAAGATGTAGACAGAGCACTAGACAGACACAAGAAAGTACTAGGACACAGGTAACATTTAAAAAATATTAATAGTAATAGTAATCTCTGTTATTACCTGTATATTTTGGAGTGGGCTAGTGGGTAAAATTTTGGCAAATTTATTATTAAATAGTCACTATTATACATGTACATGTACATTATGTCACTTTGTAGGTACATTGAAGTGTTCCGGACCACTCGGAGTGACATAAAACCCGTCGCTGATCGATGGGCCAAGTACTCAAGGCCAGCTCCCTACCCTGGGGGAGGGGGAGGAGGAGGAGGAGGTGGGAGGAGATATGATTCTGATCCATACCACAGGCAATGACGATTAATAATTAATTATAATTAATAATTTAATTATAGAGGGGCGGGGTATAAGTTTGGCGGAAGAGGTGGAGGCTGGTCTGATTATGGAGGAGAAAGAGAATACTACGGACACTCAAGATACTCTGGGGCTGGTAGAGACATGACGAGACCAACATACAGCAGGTGTTACTCTAATTCAAAATGCATATCTGTCTATAGTTCTTGATGGGCATTAATTAGAATAACCTCAGTCTTAAATATTTGATATAATACTTATTCATTTCTTTACATGCAGTGATCCTAATGGCGGTCACTGTGTTCGAATGAGAGGTCTACCTTATTCTGCCAGCGAGAGAGAGATATTTGATTTCTTCTCTCCTCTTGTCCCGTTTCGAGTTACCCTCGAGAAGGACACGTATGGACGAGCTTCAGGTGAGGGAGAGGTTGAGTTCTGTACTCATGAAGACGCAGTGAATGCTATGAAGAAGGACCGTGGACATATTGGTGAGTAAGAGAAGAGTTCTTTTAGTATGTAACATGTAACATTTTAAATCTCTCTTCTCTCTCTCTCTCTCTCCCCCCATCA